CCAAAAAAAAAGAATACAAATACACTTCTCCTCCTCTTACCAAGTCCCAGCGCAGAACGGGAAGGGAGGAGCAGCAACATTTTTCCACAGTATCTCTCTCTCATTCTGCATAGAGCCGATACCACACGGACACATCTGCTACTGTCAAAAGCTCCTTGAAGGCTCTGACCTGGTTCCTGAATAAACGCAGTAGTTTTCCTGGGTCTCTTGGATAACATTAGCCTTTTACACAATCCACCTGGAAATGGTTCTTTGAAGTCAACAGTGGGTTTCTGTGTTTAACACCCAGCCATCTGACATGCTGCAACTATCAAAAATTCCTATCTTGGTGTGACAGTTGTGCCATCCTCACTTAAGTTAATATCAATGCAGCTTCTGCATCTGTCATCAAGTGCTGAAAAAGAAATATTTCCCTTCTTTATGTAAGGAACAATAAAATAATTAGAACAGTAGGAAAGTACCTGAACACACTGTGATCAACGGAAACAGCTTTAGTCCAATTCCTATCACCAATTAAGAAATCATTAGCTGAAAAAAACAGCTAATGAGAAGATTATCGATTTCCTAAAAGGATTTACAGAAGGAAAGGGGGACATGCCTAGCACTTGGTTAAAGCATTACCTGCTAGACCTGCTGCCACCTACCTCACAGCAGAAAACACAGGCAGAGATGGCTATTACAGAGAGAGTAAGAGGAATTTGTTTACACCAAGGTCCCCTGAGGAGTAGAAAATGATACCAGATGGCCCTGACTACATGCAGTGCTTGGATTTACTGTGGCAGATGGGGAGATAGGTAAAAAAAAAGGGGATATTATAAAATTGACCGTTTTATTTAACTCATTAAAATACTCTGCCTCAAGAAAATAATCCTCCATGTGGAACTAACTATTTGGAAAGGTTTGATCATTTAAAATTTTATATTCTCCTTATCACATAACCAAAAGCTTCTTTAGTCACTGCAGTTTCAGCTACAGAACTGAAAATAATAGTTCAATGCAGAGATAACAGAGGCAGCCAAAAGCAAATGCTGTTGCTACTTCTAAATGGGTAGGAGAAAAAAAAATAAATCACAAATCTTCTACCACTTAACCGAGTGCCAAATTGAAAAGTACATGTTATCAGAATTTTTGTGCTAATTTTAACTTGCCAATTTTTAATTTAAAATCCCTCACCTGCTGCTATAACTTGGCCTCTGTAGTTCAGGAATCATTAAAATGAGTATTAACATTTCTGGTGGCTGCCCCAGGAACTGGAAACATGATCTGAGAGATAGGAGAAAAGAAAGACGACAAGACCTCTCAGCAGTGGCACCTCTTATGATTAATACGCCAGAGGTTATGACAGCAGTGAAAAGGCTGGCTGTCACATCCTCACCAATACACACCCATCCATAGAAGAAGGTACTATCCACTATCCAACACTGGAACAAAACGTGTGAAATGGGACCTTACCTACATACCTCCCTAAACCGCTGTAATTGTTACACACACAAAATGAGGCTGAAGTGGAACACAGTCAGGGTGCCAGCTTAACTAGGGAGGTGGGGTGCACATGCAAATGACAGATGATAGTTTAAAGAAAAAACCCTAACGTTTTACAAAATGTAAGCATCTGATGCTGCACTAAGCTATCTCCTGCTTCTGCTGCAGATCTTGCAAACTCTCGGAACTTTTGGAAACAGTTCATGTATGTGGAAAGATTAAGCAAGGTAAAATAGTGAGATTATCAAGGAAGAAGGTAATTAGGGGGCAATCAGGAAGAACACTGGGAGCTCTGGTGTAAACATCCCTGTGTATCATTCGCATGTGTGGGTAACCTCTATCACTGAACTTTTTAAACTGGTAACTTACTAGTTGCATATGTACGTTGTAAAAAAAGTTTAAGAACGTGCAGGAGCAGCTCTCGTCCATGTCACTAATTTTGCAGCGGCTTTTCACAACAGAATTAATTTTTGAAGGTCTAATGTCAAAAATGCTTGTTTAGGCCTGATACACTAATTCTGTCTAAAAATACTGTCTTGTGGGAAAAGATGGTTTCTAATAATTTTGCACTGATTTTATACAGTAAAACACACACATGAACAAGCACTCCTGGGGATCAATACTAGCTTCAATCCTGGGATACACCTGTATTGTTACAAAGCCAACAGATAAAACAATCACTAGTCCAAGAGACAGGCCATACCTGTTATTGAACTAGTAGACAAACAGGACAATGACAAAAATGTAAAGACGTTAAGAGGCACAATGGCCTGCGTAGTATAAGTAATAAATGCCATGAAAACCAGACACAGTCATTCAAATGGAAACAAGAAGCACTTCAGTTAAGAAGGTATTTCAAGCCCTGAAAATCCATTTCAAACAAACAAAAAAAAAAAATCAAAAGAAATATATTTGGCAATGTTATCTTTAAAAAGTGCAGACAAAGTATAGCTTAAAAAGGGTACGGCATTAAAAAGTTTTCCCCTAAAGAAAGAATTTTATGTTGAGTCTGTGCATGTCAAGCATTCCTGACTTTTCAATGCACTACAGTTATTAGAGTATAATATATTTTGCATAAGAAAAATAGTGCCTGACAAGAGAAGGCTGTGCCTTGGAAAGGGAGGGATCTTTTATCACTCTTCTGCAGTGAGAGGCATCAGCAGTTGGCAATAAGTCCTCCAGCAGATTCACCAAAACTAATGCTTATCAGTAAGAGGCGAATGCACAATTCCCAAGGGAAAAGCAAAATGCCTAACAGGTCCACTGGGAATGCACCACTTTGGTTTTTTGTGTTTGTTGGGGTTTTTTGTTTAGAACTGCTTTAGAAACACTTTGTACTCTATCTGCAGCATAAATATTTAACTAAACATCTGTTTTATTAGCCTTAATAGCTTTTATTTAATGAAAAAAAACCCCACACACCTCCACTAATTTCAGCAGTTCACTTTTGAAAATGAGCTAGTAAAGTTCTCTGGGGTCTCAACAGCTGTCTCCATCAGATTTCTACTCCTCAGAGCCCAGAACCAGAGCCCAGCTCGATTTCGAAGGACACTATGGATATCTCTCTCAACAGTAGCAGTAGTGTAATCACAGTACCCAATACATAATTCCTGCTATCATTTTTGGTGCCTACACTTTACTGACTTGGCAGAAGACCATCTCCCAAGAAATACTGCCTTTTAAAAATGTATTACCAATTGCATAAACAACCAAAACAATATTCTCCTTGCTTCTATCCTTTGTCTCAAATAATGGAATACACGGCAAAATTCATTTGCACTTTATTAACCAGCTGATTTCCTACTCTAATTCTACACTTTGTCTACATCATTTCTTTCCTATCAGTGACACTTCCGTGACAATAGCAGTGTTATCCAGAATTCCAAGTGTAGCCCATTTTTGCAATACAATTAGTGACAAACATTACAAGGACCAGTCGCGTTGTCAGGACAACATAGAACCAATGGGGGAGAGCCCCCTTCTTCATTAGTAAGACTTCAACCTCTCAGAAGGCAGCCATCCTTTGTTTTTGCTCTCAGCTGTGAAAGCTGAATCGCAGGATACTTTGGTGATTGCGATATCACGATGAGTCGCTATGTTCTTCCCCGCTCACCCTTCTTAAACTCCAAATTCCATCTTCCCTGAGAATAGGGCCAGAAGTAACAATTAAAATAGCAAGTGTCTTCAGAAAAGAAAGCTACACAGAATTTATGTCTGGCTGCCAAAGTACATTTTGCTACACTAAAAACTTTCCCAGTATTCCTCATTTCTCAATCAACGTTCCCTCTGAACTCCGTGAAGTGGATGGGATGGATGACAGGTAAGAGACAAAGATAAAGGGAGCAGCCGACATTTACTGCTCATGTCAGATTGAGGAGAACGGTGAAATTTGAGCGTTTAGTGATGGTGTCCAATGGACAAAACTAGAGGAATAAGGCATCCTAATACTAGGGCTGCCACCTCCAGACGACTGAGTCCTTTTCCTCCAGTTGATTCAGGTTTGTGGCTATGAGCAATTCCTCCTACTTCTGGGAGGACATGAACTGTGGCAACGTAAAGAAAAGTCCCAGCAGAAAACAGCATAGCAACTCCGGTGGCATTGACTTCTGAAAGGGCTTCTTTGCTACTCTGAAATGGGAAAAAAAAAAAAACGGAAAGAGCAAAAAAACCATGAGGATAAGCAGAAGTTCTTCAATCAATAATAAAAAAATTCTGTAAGTGTCCAGACACAGTAGGATTTCTATCAACTCTCATTCTCTCACAATGACAACGGTTTACTGTGTTGTCTTGTGTCTCGCACCTTACGTGCAGCAACTGGCATTCTAAAGTTGATGCAGGGGGCAGAAAGACACCTCTCATCCTAATTAGTTCACTTCAGACTTCTAGGAACCCTTACAGAAGAAAGAAGTCACAGTCTGTGCAGAAGCATCTTGTCTGACCATCTCACAGCAACATACAAAGTGTCAAAGTGACAAAATATGCTTCGAAAAAATAAAATTCAGATTGCAAAGCCACAAATTTTAGGAAGGACACTCAAGACTGACTTTTTTCCTTTTTCTAAACAAAGAGTTCAAATGAGATGTTAGCCTTTAAACATCTGGTCCCCTGCTGGTCAGAGCAAGATTTGCTAGTTTTAAGTCCCAAATCATCACTCCCTCAATATTTCATTTGTATGTACAAGTAAACACCCAAAACTTTTCCAGAATTTCCATGCAAACTTCATTAAGAAATGCATCTTCTGGATCAAAACTGAGCATCTCTTCACATTCATACTAGGGTTAAGATCATGCTACACATCATTAAATGTAATTAAACGCAAACCCACTCATCAGTTTCAAAATGCTTCTCGAACAATTTCCAACTCAAGTGTGATGGTAGTTCTCTGGTGTACACTCAGGTTATTTTTCCAAAGAGCAGAGATCTTCTGCTCCAGAACTATACAACAACTGTGACAGCCCTTATGCTTTATCAATTCTCCGTTCTTTCTGAAGTGCAAAATGCAAAACCAACTCTTAGTGAGCCTACATTGAAAGAATGCTCAAACGGCATTCTCATTTCTATTTACAAACCCAACCCTTCCTGCTGTCTGCAATATCAAATATAACTCCTCTCCGGCAAGTAAAGGGATTAGCCTAGACGATTTACTAATTCAAGGCATGAAAGATTTTCATGAGATCAGGTTGGATTCTTTACGACACAACACCATAGTGTGTCACCAGCCTGGCCCACAGCAGTTAGAAATACAGGAGTGTCACAGGAAGTGCTATGAGAAGCAGAAACATTTAATTTGGACACAGATGATAAACTCATGTGCAGTGGTCCATTTCATAGAATAGTTTGGGTTGGAACGGACATTAAAGATCGTCTAGTTCCAACCCCCCTGCCATGGGCAGAGACACCTTCCGCTAGACCAGGTTGCTCAAAGCCCCGTCCAACCTGGCCTTGAACACTTCCAGGGATGGGGCATCCACAACTTCTCTGGGCAACCTGTTCCAGTGCCTCACCACCCTCATTGTAAAAAATGTCTTCCTTATATCCAATCTAAATCTACCCTCTTTCAGTTTAAAAGTTTGTTGTATAGAGTCAAGACATGACTACGCTTTCAGGAGTATGAGAGGCAAAAAGGCTGTTCTAGCTGAGGATTCAACTTCTGACACAGCGTGAAAAAGACTTTGAACATATATGACCAATTCTGGGATGGTGGGAGAAACTAGCAAAGATTATTTTCTACCTGCATATTCAAATAAGAATGCAGCAACACTGAAAATTACTCAGTTATATAGTCATCAGATAAAATCTGGTATATGAGTAAATTGTTAAGTTCTCAGCAAGAAGCAGTAGAAAGGAGAAAAGACAGAAGTCAGCCTCCTAACAAAAGCTATACAAAACTCTATAGAGGAGTTATACCACTGGTTCTGATGGAAAGCATGGGTTATTTTTGCGTTTCACACATTCATATTGCTACCTTTTTGTCCACTTTTTTTTTTTTAAATCTTCATTCTGCTAAATTTTTCAGGCAGTTTGGAATTATGTTCTATGAAACTCATACGGTCTTCCTTTCCCCAAACTCCACCACTAAGCTACATTTCGGGCAGAACAAAATCACGGACCTACCTTGCTTAGCCCTAAGTATGTCACCATCGACATAACAGGTGCTGCTAACGCAAAGACCAGCAAGTGCTTTCTAATTCGATTCCGTTCCAGCCCAGCGTGCATCAGGAAGGAAACCAGGCCAAAGGCAGCTGGTGCCTGCAAAAAACAATATTCACTGTTAATATAATACCTTCTAAAATCCCCTGAAATCTGAGATAAAGTTGAAATACGACTTATTACATTGAAATTCACTGAACTAGAAGAAATTCAGGGAGAGCACTAGTATGTTGCAGTTAACCCAAACCAATAGAATTCTGCAGACTGCCCTACCTTAATAACAGTACCTAATGGAAACCCATGTTCTGGCTATCAGAGTACACATATTTGTGTAGTCATTATAAATACTAAAATGATCACTCTGACTTGAGTCATTGCTATAATCCCTAAGTCACCATAAACGTGTAATTTCTTTTTTCATCCTGGTACTACTATGCATACTTAGATGGACAGTTTCTTTATCTACAGCAGAAAAATTCTACAATTAACATGGAGGGGGGAAAATTCCCAAACATAAATAACTGTCAGCCTCCACATGAACAAAGACTTAAGAGTTCTTTTGACTAGTTCATCATTCAGTTTCATTTCTGCTCCCACCGGGAAGCAAACAAATACTTCCTTCTTCTCCCTCTACTGGCATCCAGTTTCTTATCTACAAGGCATAGCTGTCCTACTACTCAGGGACTTTACTATATTTTTGCTCGCATAAAGACAATAGCGGTCCACCCTGACATTTTTGAGGTAAGACAAACTAAAATATATTGAGCATTTTTTATAAACAGAATCTTTTTTTAAGCCTAGAAGGAAACCATGAATGAAGGAGAAAACCCGAGAAAGACAAAAGCGCCAATCAGGATCAGAAGACTAGAAAAATAAAAAGACACCAGAGAAGAAATAAATTTCTCTTTCAATACCAAATATTCCTTGATAATCTTTCATAGGAGAATTTTTTCTCTTCTAAAATTGTACAATTTCAGAAGTCAGTTAATTATAGAACATTAAGAATACATCTTAACAGAACATTAAGAACAATAAAAGCAAGTTTCACTTGGCAATAGCCATAAACTAAGCTTCACAGCAAGATGTGACATTGACATTGCCACCTTTGAAGAGCGTTATGTAAACCACAGTTTATTCTATGAATAGTGAAGAAAAGACATACTAGATGTGGATTTCCTAACATTTTGAACATGCAATTATGCAAGCAAGATTTTGGATGACTGTATGACTACTATACACGTGTGCTACCATAAGTCAAATAAGCATCTGCACGCGTATGTTTAGAACCTATATAGCTAATAGATATCTTTGCATAAACATTAAGGAAAAAAGATCTTCCCATCTTCAAGAACCATTGTTTGCTTGTTACCATGAGAAAAACATTTAAATTTTCTTCCTGCAGAAATGGCATATGTTGAAGCTACTACAATAACAGAGGTAACCAGAAGTTGTAATTTAGTACTCTGATATTACATGGTTTCAAAAGACACTAAACCCCTTTATAACAAGCATCCTTCCCATTTTCTTAAGAACATCACAGAACGAAAAAGCTGTTGTAATCCATATAAAACTGCTTTTCCTCCTTGAATACACTAGCATATACTTCTGTGCTTCACCCTCTAGAACTTCTCTGAATACACCTCTTACAGCAGTAAGAATCTTGGGGGGGATTTGTTTGTTTTTAAAAAAACCACACCACCACACTAGCTTCAGAAAAAGTCAGTGTGAAGCTGCCACATTTCTTCATGAGCTATTCTTCTCTCCCTACTTTTGGGAGACTTTTCCCAACCATTGCAACCAGGGTAGGCAGTCAGAACTCTCTCATTCATACCCCATTCTGACTTAGCATCCACCATTTGCTATTCTGTCATAATCATACCAGTGCCTTTTGGTCCTTGAAGCTGTACTACTAACCTGTTCATTTCAATGGTGTTATACATTTCCAGATTACATCACTAAGGAAACTTAAGATCTTTAGTAATTTCTGTATGCTTTAACAGTCTTTTAAAGAACAAATAAGATTTTTTGGACGATGACTTACCTTGTGCAACATAATCGCGACAAACACTATCAACTGGACACTAGTCTGAGAAGTAGAAGCTGCTGCTCCCAATGCAACACCATCAGCTGAAACAGGAGTGCAAATTCATGTATTATTCCTCCACAACAGTTTCAGCTTTCCCATTCTCTCAATGGCTGACAGTACAAAACATGTTGATTTGAGAAGTCCTGTTACTCAAAATGCCATTAACAATACTAACCCAACACGATTCACTCCTCTTTGTTTCTTAAGCCACCACAATTTCAGGATTTCAGACAACCCTCAACAGGAGCTGTCTTATATTTCCCAAGACCATAAAAACCATACTGAGAATCTATTCTGTATTGACACATTCCGACAAATGAGAACCAGGTAACAGGTTTAGTTATTTTAGTCTTCTGCAGTAGAAGTGGCTTCCTGTCTAAATTAAAAAATCTGCTTTAGATTCTACACATTAAAAGAATTTTAATTATTACCCTTTAAATGAATGTTAAAATAGAAATACTGTTGTAAATACTATTTTTTTTCAATTTAACATAAATATATTGCTAAATGAAATAGGAAATGGATACTGTATTAATCCTTAATATATAGACACTTCGTTTAGTGAAGAAATATCTTTTTCATTAACAACTTATGACTTATCTAAACAATAACTTTCAGTAGGAGATATTAAAAAGCATCATATTAATACTACACATATATAGTGAAGAATTACAACATGAACATGGGTTGACTGCAACACATGCATAACTTTTTCAGCCCTTGCAAGTCAGCCCAAATGTGTTTCAGTCAAATCTTTGCGCTCCACCCTGTAATGTCCTTTTTTCCACAAGATATTCTTCTTTTAAACTTAATATTTAAAAAAAAAAAAACACAGCTCAACTGACAAGCAAACCCAAAGGTGTTTCATACTACTTATCAAATGTGTTAGCATGTATTGAAATTTAGCAGCTAAAGCAGCCAGCAAAGGAATTGAAGCGGCAGAGAGTGAGCACCACACAACTTTTCATATGGGAAAAATAACAGTGAAAATACTGTATCCAAATAAAACTCCATGGAACATTCTGAGCACTGTTTCCCAGTAAGTTTTGGGGAAGATCCTTAGTTCTCCCTGCCCTGCCTTTTTTTTTTTGTATAAAAAGCCACCTTCAAAAACAAAACCCAAGTGTCTCTATCACATCTAAAGATGAGCCACACAGCAACGGAAGTCCTTGCCGAGTGCTAACAATAGATCCCACATTACCTGCAGCATGGACGACTAGTCCCAGCGTCGTGGTGATTTTGGAGTTGCCTGATCTTGCAGCTTCTGGATCTGAAACGGTCATGAGGAAAGTTAGGATAAAGAGAACAAATACATAAATTATGCTGGAAGAAAAATTGTAAGTATCACTGCACATGTCTCTACCAGCTGCTTAGGCAGTTATATCCAAAACTATCAGCTTTTGTACTTCTGCATTAGATTTACTGTAAAATAGTCTGATACCCAACACCTTCAAATCACCTGAAGGTCTGTCAACAAGCGACAGAATCATAGATAATTCTTTGCAATTTACAGGATCATTGATATAGGCAGAAGCAGTGGTTTTTCTTAACCTCCCGAAACAAATGTTAAAATTCTGCGCTACCAAGGGGAAGAAAAGCTAGTTTTGCATCCTTAGAATCCAGAGCTGCTCCAAGAGTCAGGATGATTTTTCCTCACATAGCCCCATGTTGGCATCTTCCTTCAGGTGACAGTCTGGGGAGAGAGTCTGGGGCAGTCTCTGTTGCACTGATTCTCTGGCAATTCCTAGTAAGCAATAAATTCTACTTGTCATGGCAGCAGTTGCAAAGACTTCCCTCCAACATTATACACCACAGAGGAGAAATGCAGCCAGTGCTGCTTGAGATCCAGTGTTTTGACTGCAATTGTTTGACAACTACTCTGAGGACGTTTGCGCGTTAGCTCATTACACAGCACAACAGGGCAACATCCACCACTACGCAATCCGCAGTGACACTGTTACAAAGAATCACTGCAAGGAACAGGACAGATAAGATGCTTCTATACTTGTGTAGGACTTACTATTCAAGTGTTTAATTCCAAATGGTTGAACAGCCATTATTTAATTATGACAGTGGTCAGTAAGCTGACTGCAAGCACACTTACACAGCTACTTTAACATCTGCACTGCCGCCAAAACAGAAAGTCCAGTCCTGTTCCTTTCCTCCTGTCTGTCCCCCCGCCCTCCAGTCTCTTCCCTTCATGCCCAGGCACCCACGTAGTTGCCCAGTGAGTCAGATCAGGGAAGTGAGCTGGCTAAAAACTAATGTATTCTCTTCAGTCAGATTAGTCTTCTGACTCAAGGGGAGCCTATTTGAGCAATTAATTAATTGCATAAGCTGCATTTGGATGACTGTGACGGTATACTCATGTCAAATAGGAGGAGATATTCACAAATGACATTTCCTTTAAATTTGGTTTGGATTCACCAGAACTAAACACAAAGAGAGAGTTCACATTTGATTTCATACCTCCATTCTGGCCCACATAATTTGTCTAGTTTAGACAAAGTAAAGTCTAGCCACTTGGGAGATACCAAAAAGACCAGACATTGGTTCAAAAGAGAAAAATGTTTTTCTTCAGTAGCTTTAAAGAACATTACAAAAACACTACTACATTTCCTGTGACAGAGGTACAGACTAGATAAAACTTTACATAATATCCTATTTCATACTGTGTATCTCTAACACAGATCATAGTCAATTTTCTCCTGGTATTTGCTCTGATCAGAGACATAGGAAAGGGTTATAACCTCTACAAACCAAGGATTCTCCTGGCAGTTGCTCACCTCCATCCCCTTGTCATCCTCACTGCCACTATTTCCTTTGAAAAGCTCTGAAAAATCAGCTAGCCATGGCCGTGGCTCCATTTATGTTTCTCCAGGAACATAAAAGTGACACAGCCCCTGCACTGGCCTCCCATCTGTCCCACCACACTAACCCCATACAAGCATTTGTGCAGCTGCACTGTGAACTGCCAAGGATCCAACCAAAACATATCCCATCTCCTTTGCATGTATGTTTTACTTTTCCTTCAGGATCAATTCCTTAATTTTTGAGGGCCAAATTCCACCAGAGAAGATTATGTGGGACAAAATGAGCAGCCAAAGGCAATAAAATACCTTTTCAGATGACAAAACAACTTTGGTGCATTTCAAGCTACAGTCTGAGCATGAAGCCACAGGCAGGAAACAGAGGCAACTGTAAGGCATTTTGAGAGTCTTGCAATGAAGTTGAGAAGTCTTTGGACTAAGCAGGACATGTTTTGAAGTAAGTGAGGCTCTAGACTAGTGTGGGAGTCCAGTAACTTACTGTTACTGCAGTTACAGTAAAGGACCAGAGCTTACCTCTAGTCATTTCTGCAGTCCTACCTAAGATAACTTTTTGTTCTTTGCAAATTTTACCTACATTTATGACAATTAAGTAGGAAAAACAAACGAAGATATGACTAACCTGAAGTTTTTTGGAAAGCCAAAGAAATCCCCTATGGGTGATACTGTAAAACAGACAATAACTCAAGTTTCAAGTCACCCTCCACCCCCACACCATACGTGCTCATACAGTTATTTCATGTTAGCGAAGCAAGCTCTCAAATTATCCTGAATTCCAGGATAGATTTCCAGCACAAACATTTCACACAGACCTTGCTTTATGTTTGTAAAGCACCTACTGAAACTCTAGACGTGACTGGCCACATTAAATCCCAGTAGCATTCAAAAAAATTACAACTTGCTAATGAAGACTAATTAGCAAGTCTAATTGAAGTGAATCTTTACTTACCATCTGTAGAGTGCACATGAGAGCTGCCTATCTGGTCCACCAACAGCATGAAGACAAAGCCGAGGACAAGGGATACACCTATGTAGGCATGCAACCTGGAATGGTCATGGCCATACTCATGTACAACCGGGATTTCCGCTACCTTCTCAGACTCAATCACATGCTGCATCTCGCTCGCCGGGTGATGCTTCCCTGTAGCAGGCAAGCAAACAGATTAGGAGACAGGGGACTAAACATGGCATGGTCGCTTTCTCCTCTGCTGAAAGCGTTCCTCACACTTTCTTGGACAATACACAAAAGTCCTCACTTAAGGTCAGTCTTAGACCATTTTACTTAGGGAAGCACACATTTGTCTGGTTGGCCTCTCCCCATACATTTTCAGCATGGAAAAGCAAAGAAAGCATTAATACTTGATAAGCCAGGCTACTTTGTTTAAATGCTGCATTTTAAATACAAACTGATTGACAAAAACTGCTAATAATTCCTTTTTTAATTGAAGTTGCCAGTTTTGTCAGTATTCAGAGATACTGTCAAGTGGTTAAGTCATAATCTTCATTTAAATGAGAAAATACAGGATGAGGAGATAAAACAGGTTCCATCGACTAAGAGATCTAATGCAGTCTCAAAGAAGATGAACTTTGTATCTCAAAGCATCAGTCTCTAGTTAAACAAGTTAGGATTGATACGCTCCATTGATACGGACTAGAACAACAGTTAAGTCAGCACAGTGTCCTAGAAATGTCAGTACCATCGTAGAAACCCAAAGTCCAAGCCCTGGGGTTGAATG